ATGTTTCAGTTTTTGAGCACCTTTTTGGTGCCTTTGAGGGCATTACATTTTGTAACCTTTATGAGTACATTGTCATTAGTGTGATTGATTGAATGAATTGCAAACTCAATTTATTTCCTGGAAATAACATTTAATTTGCAGGCTTGCGTTTGATTTTTTTTTATTTCAGGTAATTTTTTCCTTGCTTTGTTTTTGGGGTATGGTAATATGTGGTGATGAATTTGAGGCAAGGGAAAGAACTAAAGAAACTGAAATAAAAACCAATATATATACTCTTGTCTTGGCTTGAAATTATTTGTGGAAGTCATTCTTTTGTATCTCTGACTATAACAGATGGAAAACATGATCGCTGAATTAACTGGTTACTTGAGTCAAGGCACAGAACATCTTTGTACTGGAGCTATGTTAGTTTGAATTTTAATGAGATAAGGGTTTCTATTTTCAGATCATGATCACCAAATTGATGCAGTCAATACCACTTCTTCAGCTGTTCCAGGTTGGTGTTTCTACAGTCACACTAAAAAACATATTGCGTTTATTTAAATAAGCATGCTGGGGTGGATTTAAATGCTGGGACCTTGAGTGGAGACTTATTGTAAGTTGGTCGGCACCTTTTAAAGGGTTTGTATACATCTTGAAAACCTTAGGAAATCATTGAATTCTTATAGTCCTTTTTAAGGCCTTGAAAGTCCTTGATAATCTATTCCCAGGTCGAATGGGAATGATGAGGAGGAGTGCCAGAGAACAAAAGGAGTAGTTCATGGAAGGTCATAACATAAGGAGACTGAGGAGAAGCTCGGTAAAGGGAAGAATGCCCTGTGGAGGATGGTTCAATAACATTTTACTCTTTTACTTAATTTTGGGAAAGCTTGATCTAGTTCATTTGGGACCTGTATAATAACTTAGGACTTTAAATTAAAAAATATTGTCCTTGAACTTTTAGTCTGAAGAAGTGTATGATCCCTGTGTTTACGGCGTAGTTAAGTGATGGAATACAGTATTTTAAAAATTGTGGCAACTATATTCCAAAGTCATCCAATAATATCTCTGATGAGACTGAAGTGAAAAGGCCTCAGAGTACATTCCCTCATTGAATAACATACTTTTATTATTCAGTTATGCCTGAAGCAACACAACAGGTAGTGATGCTGACTGAATTGGGATGACAAAATACAGTAACTGAATTCATGCTTTGTTTGTCACTCATATAGTTAGCGTTTTCCAAGAACACTCTCCTCTCATTAATAATTGCAGGCACCCAGGTCAGTGAGACCAGTATCTGTCCCCTCACTGTTGCAGAAAGCTATCCTCTTAAAGGGGCTATGTCACCCCACACGCATGCGCGAGCCAATGAAAACAAACTTGAAAAAGTTGGCCAGTCTTTTTCAAGTTCTGTCGGAGATTTTGGAAGGCTGTTTTTATCTGTCTAAATCTCAGCTATCGTTCGATAGTTAGCGAAGTTTTGTATTAAGAATCGTTCTATAGTGATTACAGAATAATTTTTTGGCGTTATTTTGAAATTGTTTGCCTGTGGAATGTTTTTACGTGGATTTACTGTGTCCTCTTATCAGCGGCCGTTGTAATGGCAGAGTTAATGACGGCTACTCCACAATGAGTGATGGAATCTTTGATGGAATCTTCCCTATAGTTCACAGAACCTTTCTACTGAGTTATTTTAGAGGTTGCTGGCTCTTGGATTTTTCTTGTGCTCAAAGTATGTGGACATATAATGAAGCGGCTATCGAGTTGGCGGCGGCCGTTTTTGGTAAACGATTACAACAGCATCAGGACATGAGTTTCGTGACCAAACTAAACTCCTGGCGAAGGAACCATTATAAAATTCGGCTAGATTTCTTCTTGTATTTATCTGGATTCACGGCAAAGATAAACACGACCGTTTGCTCGTCCAGATTGTTCTTAACGGACTTAGAGAGGCACCTTAGTACGAGTCAGATCCTGTAAATGTCATGTTTTTGAACTGTTTGTGTTCGAGCATATTTTTGGAAAATAGCAGAGTTTACTTTCCCTTTTTATCAACGGACTGCTTATAGTGGAGTAGTATACCAATGATGCTTGGTTCTGTTTTTCTCGACGTCGCAGTGATTCGGCACGATCGAACAATGTTGCGCGATAATGTATGTTTCCCTAGGATCAAAACAAAGACTTGATGTCTCTTGTTCTATCAGCATCTAAATTATAAAATCACTAGCGACAGACAAGTCTAATTGTTAATGATTTGAAACAGTCTCGGTCTTTATCTTCGGTCTAGCGTCTTTTGTAGCTCGTTTGTAAAATACAACTTCGATTTATTTTGTTGAATAAGACAATATGCTGTTGTTGAATTTTTGTTTGCGCACTATTTTATGAATGGCATGCGTTTTTACCCCAAAACTACAAGTAAAATTGTCGTCATAATTATATTCTTGATCTAGCATAACCAGAGAAGAAACGTTCCGTAAATTCTATCGAAATTTCCCTTATCTAAACCCATTTCGCTTGT